TGAAAAGATCGGTGGTGTTCCGGTTGGGTTGCACCACTGACGGTCACTGATTGGATGACTTTTGGTAGGCCTTCGCTTCACGGGAGTTCCTTTTGGTAGGCCTGTGCGTGCTGTGCTTCGGATGAAGAACGACATGCTTTTCCGGTTCCCGGGGCCGGTTCCGGATCGCATGCCAAACTGCGTCCTGTGAGACTCGTGCTTAGGAGGAATATGGGAATGACCATCCCCCTGTGCATTTCCACTATGGAATGGCAGTGCTCAAGCCCCTATATAACTATGTTTTTTATATAAAAATCGTGTCCCATGATGACCTCGTGTGCTTGCATATTGTAGTGATTTAAGTGTTTTGTGAACAAATGTCACCAGCCACCATCATTTAGTAGTGACAATTTGTGGCAAGAACATGATGACATCATCTGCCTGGGCGGACATTTTATAGTGGGGTCTTGTTTGGATCCAAGTCATACCAAATCCATTTTGTAGTGGAGGCCATTTCAAGTGTGTTTTCAAAGAGCAAGGTTGGACGCTGTCATTTTGTAGAGGTGCCTTTTTGAACGGTAGTCATTTTGTAGTGGAAGCACTTTTTGGTGAACAACGGCTGCATCTGACAAAGATCCTTTTGGATCAAATGACGCGATGGATACGCATGGAGAAGCCATGAGAAGCCTAAGAAAAAAGAGAAGATCATGATAGAGAATGATAGATAATAAAGGATATTTTGGATTATTCATGATTACTCATTGATCCAATGACCAAAAAAATAGCTCATTTTTGTACGCGTCGATTTTTCCATATGCCATGTGGAAAATAGAAAGCCGCTTGAGCCTCGCAAACTTGGAGCGCGTGGATTACTACTGGCATTGGACTCCAACCAATGAGACATTCAGAAGCTACCTGAAGGCCCTGAGTTGCCTGACTGCAAAAATCCTTGAACATCTTTGAACTGTTTGGCGCAGATCATATTGATATGGAAGATGATGGAACATGTGTTCATTTTTTGCCACAATATAGTCGTGTTACTTGAGGCTACAGCAGGGAGCATAAACTTCCAGATCCTCCGGATCGGAAAATTGTCAAAGATTTGACCAGTGAACATGGTCATCCATGCACTCTCAATTGGCCGCAGTCGGGACAGGAGCCTTTGTTATGCTGCTTTGTGGAAGTATGCCATTGTGTGCCAGTCTACACTGCAATTGACATGTAAAAATGCTACAAAAAGGTAGGGACCAAGTACCATTACTACAGGATGGCAGGTTTTCATGACATTACAGTATTATAAAATGGCGGGATACGATATTGCGCAGGACACACCAGTGCCTGAACAGCAGAAGAAAATGAAGAAAGAGGAGAACAAGGGAGAGCATCTGCCGGTCAAGTCCCTTTTGTTCTTGCATTTGCTTTTCCATATTTTTCCATGTTCTTCCACATACAGGTTTCTTTTGAAGTTGAGTTGGATATAATTGGATTGAATTGGTGTAATCATGCGTAATTGTGGTTTGTTGATGAGATATTTGGCCAGACCAGCGGGGCATATCAAACTGGAATTAAATTGCATCATCTTTAGGTTGGCCCAATTCAAACCGACCGCCAGGAGACTTCAGCAATTGAAGCGAAAGAATCGCTGCATCCTTCTGGGGAGGAGGACTAGTCACGGGACATGAGAAGGCTTCAGGATCTAGGCTCTAAGAATCTCCAAGCTGTTAACTTTGTTAATCTTTGTCATATGTTTTCTTTTTCCAGCTTGTTTCAAATGGCAAGTGTTGGACACTACAAAATGTTGGGGTACCATGAAAACAACTACAAAATGAAAGTGTGTCAATAACATTATATATTTTAAAATGGTAGACTGGTAGACTAGAATACCATCCAGCTGGATGCAGGA